GTTCTCCAGCATCATTTCTATCACCAAGTCCAAATTTAGTCACTGAAAACCTTATGAACAGCACCGGGATACTGTCAGATAGCACCAGAATATTGAATATTAACGCATGATGAACAACACCAAAATATTGTTAGATTTCGAGCCAGAAGTGAGTCCCTTAGGTTAAAAGGCATCCAAAATACGACTGGAGAAGAGCTGCCTCCTCAAAGTACAGTGACCATGATGACCTGAATGCAGTAAAACTTTTGGGACCTTCATTTGCTCATGGGACACAACTCAAAAGGAGGAGAAATAGCTGTAAACATCCATTAATAACTGGAACATGGAATGTACGAAGTTTAAATCTAGGAAAATTGGAATTTGTCAAAAGTGAAACGTAAACATAATGACTAGCATAAACATCAATATGCATTAATATGCATTAATATGCATTAGAATACATCAATATGCATTAATGAGCTGAAATGGACTGGTACCGGCCATTATGAATCTGGCAATCACATGCATGAATGACAAATTGAAGACAAATGACTTCACATTCGTCATCATACAGAACATCTCTGGTAGCACAGTGGTTACAAATCAGGCCGCTAACCTCAAGGTCAGCAGTTCGAAACTACCAGCTGTTCCGCGGGAGAAAAATGAGGCTTTCTGCTCCTGTAAAGATTTACAGCCTCAGTAACCCTGTACAGGGTTCGTTATGAGTTGGAACTGACTCCATGGTACTTAACAACAACAATAAGAGTTGTTTGTGATTCGATGATATCCGTACACCTACAAGGAAAACTGGAGTCCTGATGTGGTGCTGTGGGTTAATGTGATGGACGGTAAAGTCAGTTTGAACTGCAAGGTCAGTGGTTTTAGCTCACTAGCTGCTTCTCAAAAACCCTATACAAGATCGTTATGGATTGGAATGGACCGGCATTTAACAACAACAAGGAAGATCAGTTAATACCACTATTATTCAAATTTATGCACAAACCACTAAAGTCAGTTATGATAAAATTAAAGAATTCTACCAACTTCTTTAGTCTGAAATTGATCAAACATGCAATCAAGATATACTGATAAGTACTGGTGATTGGAATGCAAAGGTTGGAAACAAAGAGGAAGGATCAGTTGTTGGAAAATATGGCTTTGGTGATAGAAACGATGCTGGAGATCACATGATAATGTTTTGGAAGACCAATGATTTGCTCCTTGCAAATATCGTTTTTCAGCAACATAAAAGACGACTATACACATGGACCTCATCAGATGGAATGTACAGAAATCAAATTGACTCCATCTGTGGAAAGAAATGGTAAAAAAACTCCATATCATCAGCCAAAACAAGGCCAGGGGCAGACTGTGGAACAGACCATCAATTGCTCATATGCAAGTTTAGGCTAAAGCTGAAGAAATGAAAACAAGTCCATGAGAGCCAAAATATGACCTTGAACATAACCCACCTGAATTTAGAGATCATCTCAAAAATATATTTGATGAATTATATACTAAAAACTGAAGGCCAGCAGAGTTACAGGATGACATCAAGAACATCATATAGGACGAAAGCAAAAAGGTCATTAAGAAGACAAGAAAGAAGAAAAAGTTCAAAATGGATGTTGGAAGAGACTCTGAAGCTTGCTGTACAGCATAGAGATGCTAAAGCAAATGGAAGAAACGAGGAGGTAAAAGAGCTGGACAGAAAACTTCAAAGATCAGCCCAAGAAGACAAAGTCAAATATTGTAATGAAATGTGCAAAGATCTGAAGTTAGAAAACCAAAAGGGAAGGACATGGTCAGCGTTTCTCAAGCTGAGGGAACTGAAGAAAACTTTCAAGCCTCAACTTGCAATATTAAAGGATTCTATGGCACTGTGGGCTAATGCATCAGACTGCAAAGTCATTTGAAGTGCAAGGTCGGTGGTTCAAGCTCACCAGCTGCTTCTTGGAAACCCTATTTAGGGTCTCTATGGGTCGGCATCGACTCGACGGCGCTTGACAACAACAGGGGCAAATGGTTGTTTTTGTTGTTGTTGTTAAGTGCTGTCAAGTAGATTCTAACTCATAGCGACCCTGTGTCAGGTTTCCAAGGAGTGGCTGGTGAGTTTGAACTGCCGATCTTGCGATTTAAACAACCTTGTAGTCCAGTGCATTATTCCACAGTGCCACGTCAGGAATCCTTTGGTATCCTTAGCAGGGGAGCAGATGAGGATGGGAAAGAATGGAGACATGGAAGGGGGCTGTTCTCTTGGAAGTGATTGAATCCTGGAGAGATATTTTCATAGACGATGAAGAACATTCTTCAAATGAGCATGAATCTTACAACTCCCAAATATATTCCCTGCCTGTAACACTGAATCCCTTCTCTTCTGGCACCAAAGGGCATCTTGGCATGAGACTCTGAGCTTCCAAGATAGAGCTTGGATCCTACTGATCTTTGATGTCCTGGTCCCCAACATGAAGCCATATAAATCCGATGCTGCCAAGTTGATTTCAACTCATAACCATTCATAGTACAGAGTAAAATGGTTTCTACTTTGGTTTCTCATCTTTTTCCCGCAAGCTTGAACTGCTGACCTGCTTCACCTGCTGAACCACGTGTAGGTAACAGTGAATATTGAATTAGCAGGTAGAGAATGTGCTATTGGGTCACCAACATCTTCCTTGGATAGGTGTGTACCATCCCAGCTGTTTCTGACTCCCACGACTGACAGGCTTCCTGTCCTAAAAGCAGCAACACCTTCAGACCTGGGAGAGTGGTTTGAAAAGGTGTGAAACGTTGGGTTGCAATTGCTTTGGCGAAAGTAAGTGAAAAACTTGCGTTATTGCAGCTCATAACTCTGGTTATTGGGTTTCGTTATTGGCAGAAGGTCTTTGGCAATTACTCTTTAAAGGAAATTCGGTTTTCAGATCTCTGAAAGACTCCTAGGCTTAGGCTAGTAAGTAGCAGTTCTCAACCCTGGTGGTTTGCTAGAACCTTCTGGGGTGCATTTCCAGCAGAGACCTGGGAATTGGGCCCACTGAATGTACGTAGTTGAGGCTAAAATTTGAGAAGTCCCTTTGTGGTGCTCACCATTAGCATGCTCTGCTACTAATCAAAAGGTTGGGGTTTGAGTTCACCCACAGACCCCTCAGAAGGTTGGGGTTTGAGTTCACCCACAGACCACTCAGAAGGTTGGAGTTTGAGTTCACCCACAGACCCCTCAGAAGAAAGGTCTGGAAATCTACTCCTGAAAAATCAACTTTTGAAATCCATTCAGAGCCCATCTACTGTGACACACGTGGAGACACAATGGATGAGAAGGTGCTCAGTGACAACTGTTGTTGTTGTTAAGTGCTGTCAAATTGTTTCCAACTCATAGCGACCCTGTATAGGGTTCCCAAGGACGTACTTCTTTGCAGGGGCAGGAAGTCTCATCTTTCTCCTGCGGAGTGACAGGTGGGCTCGAACCGCTGACTTTGTGGTTGGCAAGTGTAGTGTTTATTGCACGGAGCCACCGTGCTGCATGCGCTGAAGCAATAACACCAACTAACTGCCCCTCTGGTTGCAATTTAACAGTCAGAAGTCGGGCCTTCCAGGAAAGAAACTCCACTCCTCCGGCTCACAAAATTTGATTGGAGTCAGTGTTAAAAAAAGAAAAAAAAAATTGACTTTGGTCCCCACAAACCACGAGAATCCCCAGTCTTTAGATCAAGAAGTCATTTAGTTGAATTCAAACTTAATTCTTTGTGCCAACTTTTAAACTAAGAAATAGACAAACTTTATGATTTTATTTACTGCTAGGTTTTTAGTATTATTTTCTGAATCCCCAGCTTCTAGCAAGGAGCTTGCTATTATATGGTGGTGTTGTTATAAAGTGCCGTCAAGGCAATTCTGACTCATAGTGACCCTGTAGAGGTTTCCAAGGAGTGGCTCATGGGTTTGAACCACCAACCTTGTGGTTAGCAGTCCAGTGTTGATCCTACTCAAAAATGCTAAAATCAGGCAACTGTTGCTTGCTGGGTACTTACTGTATGACATTCTTGATATCCTTTAATTTTCTAAACAACCATGTGTGAGAGGTGCCATTAGAAACGTTAGTTTGCAGGGAGGCGGTAGGCAGAATTTGAAAACAGCCTCATGGTCCCATCTCCTGTTACACATGTTATGTTTTAAACGTGCTCCCCCTGCACGTTTACCCCCAGCCCCCTGTACCCCACAGACACATACTTGAGTGTAGGCAGGCCCGTGAATATGATGTAACATCATTCATGTGACTATGGCAAAGATGAAGGGTTATCGCGGGTGACGTTAAACCCATCAGTTGACTTTACTCAATAGGGAGTTTATGCTTGGGAGGTTTCCTCTCATCAGGTGAAGAGGATCTTTCAAAAAGGATCTGAAGGTCAGAGATGCAGGAACTGCTGGCCCTGGAGAAGCGAGCAAAGCTGCAAGGAAATGCATTCTGCCAGCAGCCTTGAACCTCAGATACAACACTGAGAGAGTAAATCGTGCCTGGCCCCTGGCCCACAGAAGCAGTGAGATAACAAACAGGGGTTGTTTTGAAGCTGCTAGCTTTGTGTTAATACGTTCGACAGCAGTAAAAGATGTCAGCCTGGTGAAAGAATAATGGGACAGAGAGGCTAAAGGTCTTGGCCAATAACCCACTCTAGGGGAAAGTGGAGCTGGGAGTCAAGCTTTGCTATTTCTGGCCCCTTACTGTCTGGAGTCCTGGTGTGGTATTACAGGATAATGCACTAGACCACAAGCCTGGTTCAAACCCACTGTTTCTTTCTTGGAAACTCTAGACAGGGCTGCTACGAGTCAGAACAGATTTGATGGCACTGAACAACAACAACAACATACTGTTTACAGAGGGAAGCCTGATGTCATAATGGTTAAGCACTCAGCTGCTAGCCAAAAAGTTGGTGGTTCGTACCCACTAGTTGTTCCATGGGTTAACAGACCTGGCGATCTGCTCCCATAGAGATTTACGCTATAGGGCGGTTCTACTCTGTTCTATAGGAAAGCTATGAGTCAAGATATACACAACAGAACACAACTGTTTAGACTTTATCATTAGTAGTTTGTAGGAGTTCTAGTGTGGCACTAGATAAGCACTGGGCTGCTAACCGCAAGGTCCAATGTTCAAATCCACCAGCCGATCCTTGGGAACCCTACACAGGGTCGCTATGAGTTGGAACCGATTCAATGGCACTTAAAAGCAACAGCTAGCTTGTAATATGAGATTCATCTTATCTACCTATCAGCCATCAACAGGAATAAGACCAAGGTTGATTTATTAAATAAAGTGGAATTAGAATCAGGAGTGTGGCCAACAGACCCCACACCACACTTGGTTTGTATACACACATGGTCGGGGATGTTGGACAGAAACATGGAGAAGGTGTTTCTTCAGATCCATACTCCAAGATGGTCCCCAAACGCCTCAAATTTGTAAGTCGGTCTGAGGGAAAAAATCTTAATAAGGACTGGGACCACAGAGACCAAGTCACTGAACTCTATGAAACCTTGACAAAGAAAGAGACACAACTATACACACTTGGTGGCTCCTATCTGCTTTTCTCCTATAGGGAAGATCTCAGCCTTCTTTTCTGGTCAGATTCAGAATTTCTAACAGAATATGGGAACACTGAATGTTTTAAAATTAAGATAGGTGTGTGACAAGGTTGTATTCTTTCACCATACTTATTCAACCTGTATGCTGAGCAAATCATCCGAGAAGCTGGGTTCTATGAAGAAAAACATGACATCAGGATTGGAGGAAGACTCATTAACAACCTGCAATACGCAGATGATACAACCTTGCTTGCTGAAAGTGAAGAGGACTTAAAACATTTACTGA